TATCCTGAGTGGTACCACAGGTATGATTCAAGGCAGGAAGGAATTAAAACAGATGACCTGGTTGAGGGTGAGAAGCAGGGACTGTGCTGATAAGTCAGCAAGGCTGAAAGAGGTCAGAGAGTGAAGGTCCTTAACTACTAGGCTGCACACTCTGGAACTTGAACTTTACTCTAGAGAACTGGACTTCGAAAGAAGTCTTAGCAATCGTTAAATCCAGCAGTTATCAAACCTATTCGTTTAAAACAAGAAAATCCCTTATTTAATGGATATTTTACACAGAAGCTAACACACCACCAGGTAAAAGCAGAGTTGCCTGGAGTGTGCATGTTAGAGGCAGGGAGTGGGAGGCGAGGGTCCTTTCCCCCTCAGCCTCCCCCTTCTCACGGTTCCCCTCTCCCACCCCAGCAGCTCTGGAGACCTTTGCTGCACCTGAAGGATCCATGCGACACAGACTAAAAAGCCACTAATTTCCAAATCTTAATGGAAAACTACCAGAGGTTTTTGAGCATTTAATCAAAGCATTATTTTAGAAAGATAAATCTGACAAGATGGATTGTAGAGAAGCCAGGAAGCAGGGAGACCAATTAAGAGATTATTGCAAAATTTCAGACCTAAATTAACACAGGTCCCAGGAAATGACAGAAGGTTTGACACTTGCATAATTGCAAAGTTAATTTATAGACTGAGAATATCTGTATGGGCTCCTGGATCATCCCTCTTTCTGGGAGGTAAAAATCCTAATACAAGACCACAAGGTGCCTCTTTTCTTGAAGAGAGTGCTCAACTGTTTAATAAGATGTAAAGGTACATTTTACATCAAGTGAGAAATTATTAGTCCCCCTGAACAAAAGCGTTTTGGAAGATGTTTGTTATGGAACTGATTTACAGGAATCAGGCACGCTGTTTAGAATTAAACCTACCTACGCATCTGGTACCATCAGGAGAGGGGTAAAAACCGGGAGGACATTTGCAAAAATAACTGCTGACTGTGTTCGTACATTCGCCCCCATCACAGATTCCAGGAATGGTGCTGCATTCATCAATATCTGGAATATAAAGAAGAGTTTAGTATTCACAGAACACAGTATAAAACTGTTCATCATCAAAAGGTTCAGATATAACGCCAGTCAAACCGATCTCTACAGAACAAAAGCTGCATATAAAATAGTCAATTCAAAAAGTGAGTGCTTCTCTCAACCCAGGCTTACCCAAGGAACTTATAAACCTCAAGAGATTGGAGTAAGATAATAGAAACTTCCCCTGTAAAATCTAAACTATGTACTGTTTTACCAAGTAACGATAGCATGCTAATATTCCAAATTTCATTTAGTTTAAAATTTTGTTTTCCCTGTTCTCTCCACGTTTTGCATTGAGTTAGGCTCCCTTTATGTTTACTCTATATTCTGCATGAGTTCCTGTGTTTCTTCTCAATCTGATTTTCCACAAGCAGATACTGAAATCCTATAGAGAAGAGCATGTGGTCTGTGCTGACCAAGACTTGGCCATCGTGGTGTTCTCAGGGGCACCCACACGGCCATGATGATGGTTTTCTGTAGGTTCAGTGAGTGAATTGTGGGGGACACTGGGACCCTCCACCCAGAGCCCTCTCAAGGGAGGACTTGTTGACTTAGCATTAAGGGTACTATCAGTAGACAGCCTCTGGTTCTCAGCTCCTTCCAGGTCTGCTTGAGCTGCAGAGAGCCACCTCACTTGGGACTATCTACACCCTTCTCATGAACCCACACCAATGACTGATGGTGGAGGCGAGAGAATGGTCTGGTCATCTACCCCAGTGGGGACAACTCTGAAAACCACTCCAATTCCTGAATACCCTGTGCAGTCAGTGGAGGCCATAGTCAGGGTTAGCCCTGAGGCCTGAGAAACAGTTCCTTCAAGGGGAACTTTTCAAGAACCAGCTTCAGACACTGACAGTTGTCAATAGATGTGCCACCAGTGAGGGGAGAAAAGAAATTGAGAACTTCCTGCTTAGGCTAAAAGTGAACTCAGAGCACAGGGTATCTGCATGACCTTGACTCCAAGAGGAGTGGGCTTTCTGCACTCACCTAGGGACAGACGCATTTTGACCCAAGCCCCCTGGGAGTATTGCAATGGCCAGACTACATCATTGGCACTCGGAAAGCCCTAAATTTTAAAAAACAAAGACTATTTCTTCTCCAGTTTAAGTGCTGCTCTTCACTTATAAAACAAAATAGAGTTCTAAGTGGACCAAATTCAAGGGTCTTCTGACTCAAGATCACCCTGTTAGTCAAAAAGGCAGCAGTGACATTGTTTACGTGCAGTGTAACCTTTTTAAAAGCAAAATCCTCATTCTTCTATGCTAGGCTAGAGGCTAAAGCAAACAATATTCCCCTGCTTATATTAGAGTCAATGCTAACATAAACAGCATTGTCATTGTGAAGTTGTATAATGGTAAAGATGTATATTCTATGCCGACAGATAGACATTTTACTGGAGTGGGTGAAAGTCAGGCTGAGAAACAGCCAAGGACGGAGCCTAAGGTTCTAGAACTAGCATTATATCAGAAGACACATTTTAAGACAGTTCTTTAGCATCAATCCTCCTGCACTGACCAGCCACACTCCTACTTAAAAACTAACAAGGTGCACCTGGGTGGCTCAGACAGTTAAGTGCCAGGCTCTTGATTTCGGCTCAGGTCATGATCTCAGGGTCCTGGGATCGAGCCCCTTGTCAGGCTCTGCGCTGAGTGTGGAGCCTGCTTGAGATTCTCTCTCTCTTAACCTCTGCTCCTCCCCTAGCAGGCACACAGACTGCCTCTCTCTAACAACAACAACAACAAAACCAAGTAAGTCCAGCCTAAGGGATTCAACAACCTCATTCAAGGATAGAAGAAGATGTATCCCTGGAACACAAAGGTATTAAGAAGAACATACCTTCCTCAAATTGTCCCTAAAGGTTAATGTCTGGGTCACTGAACTCCTATCAAAGAGCATATGAAGAAATAGTGTTTATTAAAAGAAATATTTTTCTACCTGTTAGTATAAATGACTGCTACCATCCTATAAGGTCACTTATATCAATAACCAAAGAGGTTATTTAAGTGACAAAATATACCAGAAAAAGTTATTTAAAAAACAGAATGAGCTGGCAGGTCCAAGGAGACACTTTTCACATGCTGGCTAGGTCAGATTTGGCTCCTTTACTGAGATGATAGCAACAACAAGAATAATTAGAGCTGACAGGTATTGAGCACCAGGTATTGATTAAAGGTTTCATGTGTGTCAACCCATCTAATCCTCACAGTATACGTATGAGCACAGGACTGATTTCTATAATTCTGGTGCCCAGGCATAGCTCTTGCGTTACGCTGAGACCTTCTGAAAACCAGCATGAGTAAAACTCAAAGTAAGAGCAAAGAGGCTCAATTACAAAGTGATGTGAGACCCAAGTCTCCAAGTGCCAGGGGCTGGGCAGTGGGGAGAGGGGCAGCGATCCCACTAAGAGCCCCTAAAAGAGCAAGTAGCCATCAGATATATATGTCATCATTTTAGAAAGGGGAAGTCTTAAGGTTTTTGGCCATGTATTAGGGAGCGCACAGATTAAGAGCTACATTTTTGAAAAGTCCTTTGCATCATGCAGTGCTCTATTATAATTGCTAAAGGCTGGGCTGGCGATAATCTAAATCCCAAAATATTAGTGGTTAATTAGGAATCCAAGGGACTTCTTCCAGAAATAAAACTTAATCCTTTAATGACACTTTTTATTTCTTAATTTCCTCCCACAGTAACCTATGCAAATATGGCCTTGGTTTCCGAAAAGAAAAGCCTCATGTGTTCGTTCAGTGTGCACACTCGAGAGTCATTGGAAAAACCAACAGTGAAGGTGGGCATGAACTCTGTTTCCCTTTTTCTCAAATCATAGCTATAAATCTTAATCTTTTCTTCTTAAATTTATGAAAATGTAGTAATTGTTATTTAACCACTTCAGCTTGTTAATTTACATTTCGTATGAATCTAAATTGCATGCATTGATACAAAACTTAGTCCGTGACTTTTTTAAGTTTCAGGGAAAGGGGATATTTTAAGAAAGGAGAATTCTGCAAAAGGAAGATCTCACAAAAAAACTGCTCTTACCATCACTGAGGGAGTGAAGGTTAGCATCCTGTAAATTTGCTAAAGCCCATTTTGGATTGAATTGGTTTTTTAAATAAATTACTGTGGGCTTCCAGGTATCCAGTCCCTTCCTTTCCAAGTCAAGAGGAAGATGCATTCCAAAAAGCCACTCAAAGTAATGGCAAAGGTGCCAGAATGATTTTCACAAAGTCACAGAATCCCACTGTGGCCTGCCCATCTTCCTAGAGCACACAGAATTTCTCTTCATCCTTTCAGTGGTGTGGGCTAGATTTTCTGGAATTCCTTCTATTGACCATCCTATCAATCATCCTATGCCCAGAGTTACGACTTTCCCATAATGAGGCATGGAGCTGGAGAAAAGCAAGGGAGTGCTGAAGGAGGAGACTCAGCTTACCAAGCATTCTTGGAGGACTTTCTGATTACTCTCCTACCCCAGTAAGACAGGGCAACAATGCCCAAACCAGCTTCCAGACCAGAGTACATGTAGTACTAATGGGACATTCTCTTCCAGTCTCAATTTTGCATAAAAAAAAATAAAAAGGGAGGGGAAAAAAACCCATCATCTGAATTTAATGTAACCGTAGATGGCTAAGGAAAAAAAAAAAAGGTCTAGCCAAAAGTATGCTGTTTTTATCTTGCTACTGATTTCAATATGTAGCCGGAAAAAAAAATATTTGTGAAAAAGGATTAAGTAATTCTCAGACTAAATTTTTTGTCCATTGGACACACCACCATACTAGGCTTCTTAGCATTAACAGGAGGATTTTGAATGAGTTTTCTTTCAGTCTGAGTATTAAATCTGTGCATCTTCTGTCTTGTTCACAACCACACAAGGTGATCCATCCTGACCCACGTTAACTGACAGGTCTGAGGGAAAGGCAAGGGACACAGGAAAACAATTTTGCTCCAAGCTGAAAGCTACTGAATTCCAGAAAACAATGAAGACTGGACAAACCATATGGACCATACTGCCCTAAATCTGAAAGCTGACGATATCTAAGGTGAATATATCAAGCTGAGAAAGCCTGAAAATATAAGATGCAACCCACTGCTGATGTGGATTTTGCATGCTATTATAAACCTAACAGCTTATTAATGGCATAAAACACACATAAAGGGTACCTGAAAATCTATACTATATTTCAAAATTTTCAAAATATTAGCAAATATAATTAAATATTAATATTAGAGGTTATGGCTTATATCCAGGAAAGAAGATGATATAATATGGTACAACAAGTACCAGAGTGTGAATCAAAAGAAGTAAATTTTGCACTATCTAAATGACTTCAAACAGGGCACGTAACATAGCCAGTTCCTTAATTTATAACGTGAAAGGGTGCAAATAGGTAAGTTCTTTACCCCATTCAGCATCAACATTCTCTGCTTCTAACTTAGATCTACAATATAACTCCTAGAATACATCGGGCTGTAAGAGTCAAATTTATTGTTCTTTGAAACTTAAAATGTTTTTAAGAAGTCCTCCTTCCTCAGAACCTGAGTATTTTTCACAGCTACCTCAACTGTATATAGCATGTTCAAGAATATATCATTATAAATTCTATGATGATTAATAACTTAAAAACAACTCTCACCCATAAAGATAATTCTAGCAGAGTCAAATTTCAGATTATTCAGTTTCAGAGCAAGTAGATATTAAACTTCTGTGTAATTTATGAACCGCACCTCAAATCTGATGCTGTCTTTCCCATGTATGATATATTGTGGCTATCTACCAAGAAGATTAACGACCCAGACCCAATCCCAGACAAATGACTTAGAACGAACTATTCCTCATTGCTGGGGTTTAGGAGTTGCAGTACATGCATCGAAATGAAACTTTATATCACACCAGGTAGAGCTGAAAATGAAGGAAGAAATTTGCTCCACTGAGTTTGATGAGACACGTACCTTGTTACATTATGGACCAGTACCCTGTTACATTACTGTCAGACATTATATGGCCCTCAGCAAAGAAAAGAGAGTCTGATGCTGCCTACTTATTTCCCTCTCAGGGAAAAAGCATTTACTATGACCTTGGATGCCAGGCCTCTTTTTGGCAAGTAGCAGGAGTGGTGAATGTGAACACATTCTCTCTACACACATTTTCAGGAGCTCAACCTATAAACTAAATGAAAATATATAAATTTACCTCCAGTTATTTTTCTGTTTGATTAACATTAAAAGGCTTCCATTTGATAGGCAGAAAAGAAAATACTAAACTTGTACTAGGAGCATAAATATAAGTAAGAGTTAATCTCTCAAAAAAAAAATCAAACATACATTTTAACTAGAAAAACATGAGAAGATATGTCTTTCTGAATGATATGTAATGATTAAATTTAAATTCATGTCTCTAGAACTATGCAAAAACATGTGTCTTGAACATTTTAACCCAAATATTGGTTCAAAAATATTTCATGTTTTAATATTTAATTTGATTCAGATGGATCTCTTATTTTGGGTCTATAAAAGTGGAAAAAGCTGCAGGGTTTTTCTGGTTCAATAGCACAAAGGCATATTATTTCTGGTAAGAATATTATATTTACACATTCACAGGAATGACAAAGACAGAAGGATTCTGGAACAATTTACAATAAAGCTTGTCACTGATTTGGGTTTTGCCTGCCCCTCCACCCCTTAACTGCCAAGCATATTTCTTACCTTCACATTTTTGTGATGCTTCATTAAATTTGTGTCCAGCAGGGCATTTGCACTCAAAAGACCCAACAGTATTAATGCAATTTCCTCCCTGACAGAGCCCAGGGATGGCCTGGCATTCATCCACATCTGTCAGATTTTAGGAGAGAGAGAGGAGAGGGAGAGATCCATATAAGTCATTGCAGAAGAAAATGTGATAGTTTGTCTACAATTATATTACCATATTTATGTCAGTGAGTTATTCGTCCATCACAATATTTGGAATATGATGAGAGAAACTATTTCTCACAATTACTCTATGTAAAATACATTACTTGAGTAACAAAACTTGGTCAATAATGTCTTATAAGAAGTCACAAATATTGTTAATTTTCCCACCTTCTATCTTCCCTGGGTAAGGGGGAATATTTATACTGATTTTTGTGGGTTTTATTATGCATGCTGCAAATTATAGGGATACAATGATTAAAAGGCTGACAGTAATAACTAGAGTTATTCAAAAAAGCCTTAGGATCAAAATGCAACCCATTTCTATAATAAAACTGTCTCTAAGACTTATATTGAATGATTCAGTTAAAACAGAATTTACTTAAGATCACTCGGCCTACATGAGACAGTGAATGTTTTTATGCAAATGAAATGGGAAATGTTCACCCCCCACCCTGTAGAATTGGCTTGTGCAGTCAGAACTAAATAACCCAGGAACCTGGACTGAGAACTGAGAGACACCCCAGATGAATGCGCCGTCTCAGCCGCAGACTCACCTTGCTGGCAGAGCAGCCAGCAGAGGGAACCTTTTTAAAGGTAAGTCAGAGTGTGTCCTTCCCAGCTCAAAACTCAAGTCCGTATCTTAGCAGATTCTATCTGCCCCCTCTACTCTCTGACCTCTGAGTCTCTGGCGTCCTCCCTCTCTCACTCCTCTCCTTCCACACTGGCTTCCTTGCCATTCCTTAAATATACCAAGGATGCAACTGCCTCAGGTTTTGTAGCAGTGACCCCTCTGCCTGGATTATTCTCCCTCCACAGAGCTGCATAAAGGTTCCTGTTGCCCCGTCCATCAGGTCTCTGTTCCACTCTGGCAGTGGACCCCTCCCTGGCCAATCTAATAGCAACAGCCAGCCCCCTGTCCTTCACCACCCTTCTTTGCTTCTTTTTTTCCATAGGCTGAATCACCAGCCAACCTGATAAATACTGGTTTGCTTTGTTTTGTTTCACAAATCCATTGTCTTTAATGCAAATTTCAGAGGGCAGGTTCTTTGTTTTGTTTACGGCTGTATCCCTGGCACCTAATAACTATGGTCCCACATGTAGCCCCAAATAGGAACCTCCTAGGAACAAAAGTAATCATTCCAGGCTCATTATGTTCAGTTAGAAAGACTGTAAAAAATACATCATGTACATTCTTTCCATCTCTTCATATATAACACACAAAGGTCTAGTTTAAAAAAGGAACCCCCGGGGTGGCAGTCTAAGTTTTCTTTCTCTCACTTTGGATCTTCTTTTTGAAATCTGGAAACCTAGTATACTCTCTTGTTTTACTCTTCACTGTATGAAGCAAGAGGATGATCACCAATTTTAAGATCTCTAATAACATGTGCTCTTGAGAAAAGTCGGCATGAGGGAAAGGATACTAAAGGAGCAACAATTTATTTTGCTATAAAAGTGTCACTGTTTTAAATGGAATGTCTTGGCCCACAAATGAATAGCTATATGTGAAGTATAATTAGATTATGTTTTACAGCTGATCTCAATTTTGTCTTAGACCAGAAGTTTCCATTCTCTTGATATGCCGAATAAGTTATTAAAATGTTATTTGAAATTGATGGTACATATAAACAAAACTTGATAGTCATGTTGGTCATAATTTTTGGCCAAGAGGTAATATATATGAGGGCACTTCTCTGCTGGCCATACCTTCCAAGACTGAAGACAGAATAACCTCCTTTATGAACCCATTTGCCCACAGCCCCTCACATCTGGCCCAAGGTCTGAAAACGCCAGCAAAGAGACAGAGCCCCAAGCCGAAAGCAGAATCCCTCAGGCGGGGGCGCGGGGGTGGGAACCACACACACACAACCAAACATGATGAATTTCATTCTCAAAGTGGCAATATGACTGCCATTTTGATTTTGTGGGTTGCACAAAATTTCTGACAGAAATCTTTTCATTTTCTTTCTTGGATGTCTAATAGCAGAGTCAGGAAGGGACAGAAAGAAAATGCTGGACAAGTCTAGACCATAGAAAATGCATAGTAAATCCACAGAGGAGTCGCTCTTCCCTCTCTCTTTTCATTCTCTGTCCCCCAATTCTCTTAGTGCCTCAACCTCTGACAAGGACTCATGGACACCATATCTGGCTTTCTGGTCTCTGTCGGTGTGTTCATGGGTAGTGGCTGGCTTCAGAACACCAAGACCAAGAATTTCTTCAAAACTCACTGGGACTTTCTAAGGATGAGAAAAAATAAAGAAGGTACCTAAGAAAGGGGGAACTAAACTTACTTTTTATTTTATAAAACCACACACTAGACCCCTCTGTAATTCCTTTGTTTCAAAGTGGCTTCTTGCTGCTCCTGACACTCAGAAGGACAAGTTGAAGGGCACATAAAGGAGCTGTATGTTATACACAGCAGTCAGGAGCCAGGACCAACAGTGCTTATCACAAGTGGAATTTGTGGAAATATAATTTAATGGAGACCCACAGACCTGTGGGATTAAGCTCAAGTTCTGTTTTACTGCGTATTAGCCTTAGAATTAACATACAGAACAAAACTAGTATCTGCTTGCCTCAGAAAAGCATACCCTGAATTTTCTGAAAATACTGCAACTTGCTGAAAAAGCCCTGAAGATGTCTAAAGGAAACAGATACAGCCTGGGAGTTTTCAATCCCATCAGTTTAGTGCTGAACTGCCTCCGTTCACTTCCTCCTGTTTCCTGCCAGACATCCAGACAATAAAAGAATTTGTACAGCTGGAAGAACAGGAGTGAAAGCCAAAAACAGAGTAAGGGCTTCTATGGGAGGCAGGAGAAGAAGCGAGCAGGCGACATCTGGGGATATTTAAAACTGTGAAACAAATCTTAATTTATTTCTGACTTGTAAAAAAAAAAAAAGCATAATGTAGCATGTAGAATGGAGAGAGGAACAATTTTCTTGAGGTCAACTAAGTACAACCCATGAGACAGAGGAATTCCAACAGTATCAAATGAAGGAAAAAAACCCGGGAAAAACAGACTACCTTGTGCACAAATTTTGCTTAGTGTTTAAACACAGCATTGCTACAATGCACGGCATTGCTGCAAAGAGAATCCTACCACCCCCTAGAAACACCTCTGTGGGGGGAGGGGGAGCTGCGGGCAAGGAGAACTCCAGGGAGATGAGAGGCTCTCTCTTGAGCCACGCTCCTAATGCCTAAGTTGGATATCATGCCGTCAGCGAAATCGTGAAGCTATGTCTCTGACGCCGCTTTTCCATTCTCTCCAACTTCACTGCAGAATGGCTCTCCAGAGCAAATAAGATGAATCCATTAATAACTCCATTGGCCAGAGGTTTACCTTGACAGGCTCCCGTTCGTATATTTGGAATGAAGCCCCGGCGACAGGGGTGGGGCTGGGCAGGGCACATCTCACAGGGGTGGCCCCAGGCTCGGCCGACCGTGGCACAGCAGAGTGTTTTTGTGCAGACAATCCCGCTGAGCTGTCCCTGGCACATCTGGTTGCTGACCACAGTAAAACATGGGCCTGTCCTGTAATCTGAAAATAAAGAAGGAGAATTCCATGAAGGTCCAGAAAAGCAGGAACCATTAGGCAGAGGAACAGCTGTGCCCCATCCTGCTTGACTCCAAACTGGGAAAGAGTGTTCAGGGATAGAACTGCACATCGGTGACTCCGTGTGAAGCCTTGGGCAGACCATTCTACCGCTCACTTCCATGTTCCTCACCTAGGACACGGGGATAAAAACACCAGTTTCTACCCACTGTGAAGACACTGTTGTAAGGATCAAACACTTTACAACTGTGATGTCCTATACATACATAGCATTATGATATTAATATACATTCATTCACGCAAAAAAATGTATCAGTGCCTACTATGAATCGGCCCCTGTGCTTGATATAGATGTTTAAATGATTAAAATAGATCAAATCCCTGCCCTTATGGAGCTTACAGTCTATTATTATTCAGGCTGGAGAAAGCAAAACATTTCAAAATTTGCAGTGAGGCAAGTCATGGCACCTTCTTCCTGGGAGTTCCTTGAACAGAAGAAATGGGTTACTCATTTCTTTTGGATTGGGTCCATCTTATTTCAAATACAAAAAACAAGCAAGCAACAAATACGTAAGCATTTTAAAATATTTGCCCATGCAAAGACATTAGGTATTTAAGATAAAGAGTAAGGACATTGGTCTGAAATCATTGTAACCCTTGGGCAAAAGTCCATCTTCAAGTAGACAGTGAAAAGTGAAGGCCACAGGAGAATTTCCAAGTACTCTCACTGGATACAAAAATCTGCCTCCGTTTTTGTTCTGTTCTGTTTCGTTTTGCTAAAAGGAGAAAGTCAATCTGGATTCAGCAGCCAAAAAACAAGAAAAATTAACATGTAGTGAGCACAGAGGACCAAAGTCAGACTGTCCTCAGTCTCCCTATGAGAGAAATTGAGACCATAATATCCCTTTCTGTTCTACAGTGACCTTGACAGATAAGGGAGGCTGAGTTGTGGCAAGACCCATGGGCTTCTACCCACTACCCAAAGCTGCATGCTCCCCTATGTCATTTTCAGAAGTGCATAGTGTTTCCTGTGAGCCCAGGGATGCAGTAGATAAATAATAAATAACTCCAGTAAGTTCCTTTCACCACTGAATTCTACAGTTTATGAAAATCACTGTGTGTGCTGATAAAACCTCTGGGTTAGGTTTTCACTTTTCTTTTCTTCTTTCTTTCTCTAGGTAGGTAGGCATGCCTCTGTTCTGTGTATTCTCTCCTGCTTTCTCTGTTGCAGTTATGACCCCAGCGACTCCCTATCACTAAATGTTCTTCCTCACTCTCCCTTCTATCTGGCTGGAATGAGCCATCTGTGCTCAGTGGCACCATCCTAATGCCCATGCTGCCCTAATGTCCATGTGGAAAGACGAGCCTTCCGAGGAGTTCCTAAAACAAAACATCACCCAGTCAAGTTCAGCAAGAGGACTACGCCCAAATTATGGTAGCACTTGAGAGATGGACAGGGTGGACAAAAAGTCAAGTCCCCATCTCCACATCGCCCTTTCCATGCAAGTGCTTGCCAAAGTGTGCTATGTGTATCGCTGATGGGATGCAAGATGGCTTTAGACTGTGAGGCTTTAATAGTCATTTATCAATTCTAATTTGTATTATTAAAAAGTATAACCTTAACAGACTCATGATTTCACATATATGTTTGCTATGATTAGGATGAATTTTAAAAGTTTAATTCAATTTAAAGAAAAATATTAAGTAAACTCTAGTACAGGACACACAAACAGGCCAAAAATTTGTTTAGATTGTACGTAAACACCACCAGTGTTACCATTCAAAAAGACTAACCTCACACCTTTCTTCCCCTCAAGTCTCTAATGTTCTGGCCCCACCCATCTTTCCAGCCTCATCTTGTCGCTTCCTCAGTTTAGTGTCTTTTCACTTTGTTCATGCATTCTTTTTTTTACCCTACTGATTATTTTCCAGTTTTATGTAGCCAAATTCTAGGTATATTTTAATATTTAATATTTTTCATAGTATGCCAGATCTATTCAAAATCTGCTATCTTCTTCCATAGAATTGAATTTGAACAAGAATACAAAAATCAAATGCTGTTGAATAAGATCTCTGCCCTCATTTCATTCTGTCAATAAAGAAAAATGACAGCACCATGACAGTTCACAGCAAAAGTGCTCTTAAAGGCAGTAAACACATGGACAAAGTCAAAGGCTGCAATCGTTCATTATTTGGCTCAATTCTTCCAAATATTACCTGTAGGCATTTAATAAATACTTCTCTAACATATGGCATTTCTTTTCTATTTTAACACTTTGTTGTATATTTTTGAAATTCGAAAATAAAAAATTATTTCAGACAATTAGGAAAAGGTAGCAACATAAGAAAATAAAAATCACATGTAATTGCAGCTAAAGAAATCTTTGATACATATTGGTTATATTATCTTAACCTAATTTTACATGTGTTTTTTTCTTCCTCACGAGATAGGAACTATATTAAATCTGTAATTTTGAATCGTAACATTGCCAAAAGCATTTTCCCATGTAACTACCATTCCAAAATATGATTTTAATTGCTACATTAATGGATGTACATGATGGATAATTTTCCATCAAGTTATAACAATTTATTCAATAATTTTCTTACTGTGTATCATTTAAATTGCTTCCAATCCTTCATTATTACATACAACGTTCACCATACATTACTGATGAACTCCTTGAGGATGAAAAATGTTTAGTCTCATGCAACTACCACCAAGATTTTTATAACTACATGTGCATATTTTACTTCTGAGACTAGAAAGATCACAGCAACATAATCTTTTATTTAAAAAATAAATAAAACCTTCTGTGTTAGGTAACAAGGAAAGAAATTTAAGTTCGTTTCTTCTCTTAATTTACGGAGATAAGTACAAATGCTTGAATCAAACAGATTCATGGTGGCATGACATTTTCAATCTTTAAAAAACATAATGGAACATGAATTTGAATTTACAATCCTCTCTTTGACACTGCTTGGATTTGGTTTTGCTGCTCACTTTGTCAAGATAACCTACAGAAAATATCTTATAGATGAGGATCGCAAAGATACAGGGGTGCAAACGCGTGCCCAGCAAAATCAAGGCACACTACAAAATACTAAGACAATCTGATTCAGTCCTGCCTGACACTGCCTCATGACTTCAGACATGAATTCCTCATTGGAAGACCCTCATAAAAAGAAAATAATCCTTAGACTTTTCCAGAGTCAACAACTTCTTACTCTCATTTCAATTTGAAATGCATGGAATAGAAATGGCAACTGTTAATTCTGACAATTTTCATTAGGCATTTCTAGAGCGCACAGGGACCCATCTTTATTAAATATACTGGATATCTGGCAAATAGTTGGAGTATGTGTAACAGAATCTATAGACTTGACACATTTCTACACTAAATACTTAACATTATGGACAAAGAACCAAACCATTTGACAGTGCAGATTAGTAAGTGGACATAAAATGTATCTGTAGGACACATTTTCAATAAAAATTGCTGAGTGCCAAGGGAGAGGCATAATCTGGATGAAACAGAATTGGATCTAAAAATTTCTTGGAAGGTAAATGCTCTATTAACGTGGTTTTCAAATGTCATTCTGATTTGGCAGCATGTCCTTTCTGTCTTGTGTTTCATTTAGATTGCCAAAGTTATGCTGTTTTTTGTCCAATACTTG